GTTAATATGTCACTCTTGTTCATTGAGCTGACTGAAATAAGTCCAACAGATTTTTAATGGAAACCAAGTCTAGGATGAAAAAATTAATTAACATAACTTGTTGGTTAGGGTTTTTTAAACATTTCAGCAGATATCTTAATATAAATGCAATTATACCAATAAAGAAGTACTTCTGTTGGTACAGCTTCTTTCACTCCCTGACCCAGTGCTATTAAGGAAACCTTGTCAAGTTTACTCTTACTAATTAGTTTGCTTTTGTTTGACCTACAAGGCTGACCTTTTTTTAAGATTTGGATTAAATATATTTAGAAACTTTTGCCAATTCACTGCATCCCTGCTGTATGGGTACTCTTATTTCCATTTAAGAGAATGCGTTGTCAATATACCATGAAGCAACTGATGCTCAAGTTTACTTCCATGTTCATGGTTTTGCCCTGTGGTAAGTGGATGCAAAACTTCAGTAACTTACCCCTGTTTCACCAAAGACTATACAGAGGTTATGGGGAAAGATATGCTTTGAGTGGTTTCCAAAGGGAAGGAGTAGCTGCTGCTTGAGAGCATGCAGTTAGTTATGGTGTAATTGTTATGTGTGTGAGCCTGTCGTGATACAAGTGAGCAAATGTCCCAGCTACTGATTTTCCTACATTGGCATTGCTGCAGGCTCACGCATAGGTAACAGCTACAGCATAGCGTGCAATCCCAAACAGTGGCAGCAGCCCCTTCCACTATGAAGTCATCCCAGGTGTATGTCTTTTCATACCCAGAGGTAAAGCTTCTGCTGACTTTCGGGTAATAATGTTCACAGAGGAAATTACCGCAGAGCAGCTGACCTGCACTAAAATGCCCCTCCCCTTTTGCCCTGTTCATGCGATCATACCCTCAGACTCAATAATTGGCTTTAGCTAAACTAATAGAAAAACACTCAAAATGAAGAAAGAATGTCCACGTTGGACCAGTTTTTGAATGAGTTTTTAAGCATTAATTTCATTGAAATAACATAGTTTTCTCATGACACGTATTCAGGAAAATATTTGCCAGTCTGTTGAATTCAAGTGGAGGTTTACATTTCATGGTGCTGCTTGAATGGATTGGGGACAGAAAGGAAGGACTTTTTATGTGATTGATTTGTTGGTTTTAACTCATTACAAAAACTGTTAGTTAGGCAGAAAGCTTCCTTGCTTAACGTAAAGACAGCTTCTTTTGATTGTGTTGAAATTATTATTGATTCTAAAGATGCAACCTAAGTAAGGACAAGCATCCATAATCACGTGGGTAGCTTCTACTTAATTATAGTAGCTCAGTACACAGAAAATATAGTAAAGTACTAAACCTGATACCCTATGGAATTTTTATTATTATTATTATTATTATTATTATTAATAATTAGTAGTAAGTAAAAGATTTAATTGATTACTGACATTGTGAAATAGCCTTTCTGTCCCAGCAACTGGTACCTAGTCTAAACTGGAAAGTTGTTCTAGCACAGCTATTTTGTTAGGAGCATGAGGAAATCATACCTTTCAACCATATGCCTATGCCTGCAAAACTCAAGTGCAGGTGCACTACATTGGAAAAGGAGCTCTTTGCTCCTGTAAAGTAGGTCTCCACCAGGAGGACTTTTCAGGATAACCGTACAAGTATAGAAATACTAGTAACTACTTTCTAAGAAAATAAGACCCAAGCATTAGAATGGCTTATTCACCCTAGAATCTCATGCCCATTAGATGCTGCTATGGCAGAGGTCTCAATGTCTTTGTCTTTTCCTCCTGCTTTCCTTGCCATGGCATATGTCCGTCTGGAGACAGACAGCCACTGGTTGTGCTTTTCCAACCACTTCCCCAAGCATGTCTCTTGTTCCAGGATCATCTTCTCCTTTCTCTTGAGCACAGGGCAAAAGGACAGATAGGGCTGTACTAGGAGAGATTGCTAAGAGAAACTTAAGAGGCAAGAGACCTTACTAAAATTATCAGGGCTGAAGTAAACCTTCCATTCATCCCAAGAAGAAAACAGGGCAGTCATGGAAAAGAGGTAGGATAGGGGTGAAAATGTTATGGAACTAGGAAAAGAATCCAGGTTTTAGGATGCTTATTAGTCCTGACCTTGAACTCTCAGCCGCTCAGAGTTCTCTTGTGGCTGTTCTTGTATGTGTCCTTTTTTAAAGTCTCAGTTAATTCTAGATGTTGCTCTCACAATGCAAAAAAAAAAAAAAAAGAAAGAAAAATGAGGGGGGGGAGTCAAACCATCGTGATTTTTATTGATGATAGTTTCTGTGTATTGATGCAGTGACATAATGTGCTATATAGGAAAAGAACATCTATTTCAGGATTTATTTTTTGGTCATTGTGGTCAGGCATGAAATGAAATCTTGAGGAACAGCCTGAAAATTATCTACTTTCAGGCTCTGATAATGAAGACATTCACCAAACAACAACAAAAAAGTGATACCCACTTGAATGCACACACCAACCTCCAGCTGTGTCCCTCTTATCATCAGCTTATTTGGAGAATTATCTTTGCAGGGCGGGGGAAATTAAGGGTTGGCAGCTATGATTAAATGGAGGATACTCTATTGAGGAATAACAGTGTGTTTTATGGCTTAAATTAGTGTGATTGATAGTATCAAAAACCACTGATAATTTGAGCAAAATTAGCATTGAAAGCAGACTCTGAGATTTGGCAGCAAATAACAGAAATAAATGGAAATCTTGAAGTAGTTTTTGTAGAAGCCAGTGGTTTGTACGGTTGCAGTGAGAGGTTCTGAATTGCTTTCTGACCAAAAGTGATGAAAGACTCTTGTATTAATGCAACCTTGGTCTCAAGTCAACCAGAAAATGTACTTGTATTCTGATAGTTCAGCTGCACAACTGTGTATCCAAGGCTGGAGAACTATGCCACATCTCAGTCCTTTCAGATTAAAACCACTTGGAATCAGCACCTCTTGAATTGTTTTAATTCATCCATGGTAGCTCATGGGTATAACTACAATACTAGAAACTCCAGTTCTTTCCTGTTGATTCTTTTATTGTCATGCTGTTTCCATGACTTTTGTTTGGTGGGGCCTGTTTTCATGGCACACTCCCTAGCATGCTCCAGTGTAGTATATGCATACCTAAATTAATAAAAGTTTAAAGATACGGCATTAAGGAGAACAAATTGAACTGGCCCTCCATGCTGCAGATTTATTATGCATCCTATGAAATAATGTTATTTTGCTTGCAATAAAGCCAATGCAATGAACAGCAATTTAAAAGTTATACAGGCTTTATTTACTATCCTAGCAGGTCATTTTAATGGATTTTCTAAACACATTAAAATTGAACTGTGCATGCTGCCTACTGTGCATATCATGTATAAAAACACATTTCCCTGTTTAAACACAATCCTACACTTTACAAGGTTTTGGCCATGATTCTCTCATGGATCCAAGGTCTCTGGGAACAGAAAAAGTGGCATTATTTCAGACCCATGTTTTGTGCCATCCCACAGAGTATGAGGCAAAGTATTTTAGAGTCTGCTTTAACTTAAGTTGCTGAGAGGATCCCCTAAGGATGTTGTGCCAGTGGAGGATGGGCAGAGTGGAGCAAAGTCTCTTCTCCCCCTGGATGTTCTCTACAAGAGCATACGTATGGATGACTCAAGAGCCCCCTCTACCAGTTCTGCACCTGGAGAAGTCCTCAACTGGTAAATTATGGACAGTTGTGAGTCCACTTGCACCATCAGAATAGTATTAAGCATCTGGCAACAGAATGAAAAAAATTGACTCTTAATTTCTATAAAGTTGCAAAATTCAAATTCAGTGGTACATTAGATATCCAGTGTGTTGTATTTACAAAAAAGGGGGAAAGACCAAAGCAATCCTTAATGAGAATTATTGCATCACTAGTTGTCATTCCTTACCCCTAAAATCTGACCTTTACGGTGGCTTATGTCTAAAAATGTGTCCAGTTTTCAAAACATCAGTATTAATTACCATCTGCTTTTCTGAGCACCTCTTGACCAGTTTCTTTCTTGGCAGCTGTTTGTTTATTCAAGTGCTTCAAGGTGTACAGGTAGCTTGTGGTCCTACTCAAAGAACTTCCAACCCAGGTTAGCTTGTGAGGATGGAATCGGGGGAAGCCAAGGAGCAGAGAACAATAGGGGAATGAGAGCATAGGTGTGTCAGTGATGAGATGTGCATAGAAATCTATTTTTAACTAACAAATTTCCTCAAATTATGGAGTTATAGCTTACATGGTTCTTTCCTTAAATGGTTCAGATTCCAACATGATGGATACAATGTTACATCTGTGGGTATGGCGAATAAAATATAAAATAATTCTCCAAGGATTTAATGTATTTTCTTCTTTCTTTTTCTTTTTTTTTACTAGTTTATATTTGCTATACTTTCTAGAACTTTATTTCAGTACGTGTTCTAGGTTCATGTTATGAATTCCTTATACAAAATAGTTAGAATAGAACTGCATTGAAATGGTGCGGCCTAAGGAACGTTTCCCCTAATTGGCTCATGGTCTCTCTAAAACACAGTCAGATATTGGGGCTTAGAATTCCTAAGCCAATGGAGATCAAGATCAGGAGCATTGCAGCAATAATGATGTGCTTTAACTCTCAGTGATAAAGGAAAAGAAACCAGGGCGCTTTCTTCCTATGGCTTCCCACCATGCTTATTTACATCCTAACGTTAACATGGAGGGAACCGAATTGTATTTTCCCAAATGTGGGACATGGAAGAAGGGAGTCACGAGGCTCCTGAAGAGGAATGGAACTACTCAAGAAAGAATGGGTGTCAAGCTGATGATGTATATTGTCTGACTGGAAAAATGCATCAAATATTTCTGGTCAGAGTATAGAAAATGTTAATTGTATCAAGTTTAGGGGTTTCATTTTTTTTCTGGAAAACTTACCAGAAAGAAAATGTTGCTAATATATAAGTACTTACGTCAGGAGAATCAAAATTGGGTCCTCATATACTGACTACAGATTTCTTTAAAATTTGTTTTCAGATGAACTGCTTCAGAAAGAACAAAACTATTCTGATGATGTCTTGGCCAATATGATCAGCGAGCCCAGGATCAGCTATGGAAATGATGCCCTTATGCCTTCATTGACTGAAACTAAGACAACTGTTGAACTTCTTCCAGTGGACGGAGAATTCAGCCTAGATGACCTTCAGCCATGGCATCCATTTGGTGTGGATTCTGTCCCAGCTAACACTGAAAATGAAGGTAACATAGGATCTCTTGGAAGAAATCCCAGAATATTTGGATTTGAATATGGGCGCACCAATAAAGATTTTTTGGCCAATATCGTGGCCAGTTATTAACCAGCCATATCGGCTGATACCAATCTGATAGCCAATATGCAGCCCAGCAGCTTAGAGAGCAGCATCTGTCTGGTAAGCCTGTGGGGGATGGAATGGGCATGGGGGAGGGAAGAGGCAGTGGGGAGCAGATCGAGGTCCCCATGGTGAGGCAGGGAGTGGGGCAGAGGCAGGAGCTGCCCAGCCAGGATGGTGAATGCAATCCCAGGAATGGGGCAGACCCACAGGCAGCTCATGTGAGAGGTGGGTGGGGATGGTTCCCTGCCACTGCACGCATCCCAGGGGGAAGTGCAGGGCATGTGTGCCCCCAGATTTATGCACAGGTGAGGGCAGGCTACCTGCTGCAGACTTGGGGCCAGAGGTTGTGTCGGCCTCTTCCAGCGGGGGGCTGGGCTGGGGCTGCTCTTGGAGTGGGCATGGGTAGGATGGGCAGCAGCACTGGGAGGAGTGGCTGTGGGGTTGGCTACAGCCACCCCAAAATTCCCAATAGCTTCCTCTCCCAGTGCCACTGCCCACCCCACACCAGACTACCCTGAGCTCAGCCCTGGCCCAGCCCCAACACTAGGAAGAGGCAGCCCCTGACACTGAGCCTGCAGAGGGCAGCCCACCCTCTCCCATACAAATCCAGGGCAGCACACTTCCCCCATGCTTCCCGGAGGGGAGCTGCCCACCCTCCCACGCCCCCCCCCAAACAAGCCACCCATGGCTCTGCCCCACTCCTGGGTTCTCTTTCACCACCTTAGCTGGGCAGCACCTGCCCGAGCCCTACTCCGTCCCTCACTGTGGGGGGGGCCTCGATCTGCCCTTCCACACACACTCTTCCCTACCTTCCTCCCCTTCCCTGCCACAGATTTACCATCCAGATGCTGCTCTCCAAGCTGCCCGCCTACATTCCTAGCCGCATGCATGTTGCAGCTCCGCACATGTATATGGCATTTATCAATGACATTATTGGCTACACCAGCCAAAAAAAGCCAATTGCCAATAATGTTAATTTTCCTTTTATCAGTGCTGATCCAATATGGACCGATATATCAGTGCACCTCTATATTTAAGTTATGCAATCATATGTATGCGCTTATTCTGTGAACATCTTGATCTTTCTGGCTTAGGAAATTACGTTAGAAAACAAAATTAGGAAATTGTCTGCCATATTTCCTTCAAGAAACAGAAAGTCCTGACTGTGTTTCAGATGTATATAATAAGTCTCAGCATTATATTTAGTGGACATCCCTTACTATAAAAATACAACATTTAACTGGGTTGTGAGACCCTGATATAAACTTACATGGGTAATATGTCAGAACTTTGGATTTTTAATAGTAAACATTTGAAAAATAGCTACCAGTTGGTAACAAAAAGAGGGGCATGCTTCCCCAACATCATTCTAAAAATAAAACTATGTATGTGATTTTTCTGATTTGATATTGCTGAGGTGTTCTTCATGCACTTGCAGCATTTTTCTTACTGGACAGTCACATTTTCTTCTAAAGAAATGTTTTTACGTAGCCCATGGAATAATCAGTTGAGAGGATCCTATGTGTATGTTTCTAAATTTAAATAATCTGTATATTATCTGAAAAAAATTAGTCATTGGGCATTCTACAGGCAGAGCAGTAAAGGTGGATTTGTCTGTATGTATAAGCCATGTTAATGGGAGGCCTGGAGAAATGTTTGCTTTATTAAAGTTTGTTCTTAGTTATATTTGGAGATGAATTAATAAAGGGAATACAAACATCAGGTTTATGAGAGAAACTCATTCAAAATTAATTGAAACAAAAGTGAGCATTTATGGAAGAACGACGTATGCTACTTCTAGATGACAATTAGATGTTCCCACAGGCAAGAAAATTGCAATAAGATGGGGCGGGGGGGCGGCTTTAAATCAGTTTTGGGTTACTGTTTATTTTAATGCAAGCTACAATAGTTTTTTTTTGGCATTTCCAATTATTACTTTTATGACCTGTTCTTAAAAGTCCTGTATCATTTTAAAGCATTAAAAACAGAAATTATTTGGTGGACAGAAACCTGTTCCCTGGCCTCCCCTCAAGTCTATCCAGATCATAGCAGCTAATAACAATTAGTAGGTGGTACTAATGTGATCTGACCTGCAGGTCCCTCGTTTTCTCTGCAGAACCTTCACTGGGCTCCCCTTGGCCCACTGCATCAAGTCTGAACCTTCCCCCCCCCACCTTGTTTCTCTTCCTGAGCATGTTTCTCCCTCCTTCTGTCACTGTTTCACAAGTGAAATCAGCCTCACTATACTGTTTGCATCCTGTTCCCACTCCCATCTCCATGCCTGCTTCCATATGCATGCAATGGCCAACTTTTTAATATTTGGGCTCAGTTAAATCCTTCCTGAAGTATTGGCAAACATTAGCCCACTGGCCAAAGGCCTTGTTCCATTATAACATGTTTAAGAAACCAGGAGGAAGGAAAAAGAAAAGCATTCTAAGCTAATACCTTCCCTATGGGTCCTGGTGCTTCTGTCCATCTTTTATACAGTAAGCTATTCAATGCAGGGAACATGCCACTAAGCACACTGCTCCCTCTTAATGAATAACAATTAATGGTAGTAAATATAGGATGAAAAAAAATACGTACTAGAGAGGTCTCAAATACACTATAGTAATGAAGGCAATGGCCATTAGCAGCTTATTCCTATGAGATGCTAGGAAAACTCAGCAGTCTTATGCTGAGCTTCTTGGTATGTGGTAATATGACATATTAGCATTTTTAGTTTATATTTGTTTAGGTAATTTTTAAATAATGAGCAAATTTTCAATCTGCAGATCCTTAGGCTGTTTTATTCTAGTTTGCAGTAATTGATTATTTAAATATTGGCAATCTCAAATTTTAAGTATTAGTCATTTGGCTTGGGTAATTAGATTAGTTATTAGAACCAGAGAATCTTGACTCTCTTACCACAAACATTAACATAAATGCATCACTACTTCCCTTGTTGCATTGCTGCTTTACTGTCATCCTGAATGGTCCATGCAGTGTATTAAGTAAATCAGTTAACTTTTCAGACTTAATATAGCAAAATTCACTTTTTTACAGCAGACAGAACCATATCAGAGTATCTGTCAAGCAAACAAATTGTGTAATATATGGCAGACTGACTTTAAATGACCTAGTATGTGTTTTTTCTCAACAATCTCAGAGATGTATGAGATGTTAAGTAAGTACTGAAAAAGGAATTCACAAACAAAAACATGAATGTGAATGATGATAAGAGAAAGGAAATGTAAGGAAATAGAACATCCAAATCATAATGTGGTATTAACATCCAGCACCCAGCTCCCTAGCAGGTGTACATAGGTGAAGCCAGGGGAAAAAGTCAAATTCAAAAGTCTGTCATAGTTGAAAGATTCACGAGGAAACACTATTAGGACATATCAGTATCCGTAGCCTATACACTCAAGGGAATAATGTGTCCAACATCGCATCCTGCTATCTTTTACTCCCCAGCCCAAAGGAAGAGGTATATATAGCTAGGCCAACTGGAGATAACCTTTGGCACCAGCTGAAAGTAGGTTTTGAACTCATACCTCTGGTCCTATGTAAGGATGTCTTAACAGCTCTTCTCCTTTGACTCTTCTCTGTTCAGAGATCCTTTTATCATGAGCCATGATGGAGGTGGTCATATGGAGAGTCTTTGCTTTCATTCTAAATTTTCCTGTGGCTTCTATACTTGTATAAAAGAATCAGTATTGTTTTAATAGTTTATTTCATATTAGAATTGCTTTCCTATCACTTAAATTTGTTCAAAGAAAAGTTAGTGTATCAGTGACACACTGATTACTCTACAGTTAAAAGACCAGTAATTCCAGCAAACTACCTTGGACCTTTCCTTCCTGCTGGTCTCCATGACCTATTTTCCAATAAACATCCAATGAAAATTACATCCAGTAAACTATATAAGCAGCCTACACAGTTAGATGTTCAGTCACGTGAATTCTATTTTTGTTCCCGTTTGATACTGAGAGACTCACAAAAATATTTTCCTGCCCATTTTAACAGGAAACTAAAATTGTTGTTAAGATTTAGAAACAAGACACCATTATTTCTTGCAAAAAAAGAACTTTACTGTTGTTTTAGCAGTAAATTGTAATATAGAATGACATGGCATTATTTTATTTAACTCATGACTACTGATTTGCCAGCATCTAGCTCAGTCTAGATATACCTGCCATGCCACTTCTGAAGAAACTATGGGTGAAATCCTGGCTGTCCAAAGTCGATGAAAGCTTTGTCATTGACATCAGTGGGATCAAGATTTCATCCTTTGGGTTGTGTTCTAAATGAAAAAATAAACTTGCTTTGTTTTTATAATCTGGCCAATCCTCCCTCTTTTTGATCATGTGGAAATCTGTACTCCTCCACCTTTCAGTTGATTTCTCTTGGATTTTAAGCTCTTTGGGGTAGGGACTGCACCTTCTTATGTATTTGAAAGAAAGAAAAAAAACCTAGTGGTTGCTAGAACCTCTTGTTCTCAGGTATTTTAGCATTAGATTTAAAGTTAAGTAAATGCATACTAAATGCAGCTTGCATGGTTATCCCATGTGCAAAAAAGCAAGTATAATAATTCATTTCAGGGACCAGATCTTGATACAAAATAACTTCAGGTGCTTATTTTGTGCACTCCTGGACCTCTGCCTACGGTTACTGTTTCTGCTTGTGTAAATGTGGTTAACATGTAGTCATGCCATTTTCGAGCATGTAAAATTAATGAACCTTTGAAAACCAGACTATAAGTGCTAAAGATGCTCAGAAAAAAGTGCAGGTCCCCTGCAAAGGTGGAGAGAGAAACCAGTGCATCACTGAAAGGTGGAGTTGGTTGGGAATTTTCTGGTGGAATGATTTTCTACAGTTTTCTGCAAACATCACAGTTTTCCATGGGAGAAATTTCTGATTTTCTGTTCAACCCCACATTCTCTCATCTGTGCCAGATTCCCTGGAAGTTATTCCCTATTATTAAATCTGCATTGCCCCTTGACTATGCTATGTTGACATTAGGAGAGAAACATGACTGCATTATGGAAGATGTCTGACCAGCAGGGATCTTGGTTTTCACTGATTTTAAAAAATCCCCAATTTTCAGTTAAAAAAAAAAAAAAAAAAAGTTACCCGAAATCCACATTTTTCCGTGATTTAAATTAAACACCTCTAATATATAGATACATAAAAATATATATTAGTGGTTTTTCATTTTAATCATGGAAATATGTAGATTTGGGGTTACTTTTCTTTAACAAAAAAATAGAGATTTTTTTCAATCGGAGAAAACCATGATCCTTGCTGACCAGGGAGTCTAGCCCACAGGAGAAAACAGGAATATCAGGCCCTGAATTGCAACTCTTATGAGCCACTTCAGAAAAATGCAGCTTAATATTGAACTGGCTTGAAATAAAATTTCCAGGTGGTTTCAGCATATGAAGAGAAACAGGTAAATGTCAGGACCATGTGGATGCTTCATTTTGATATTTCTATTTCACAAAAAAAGAAAAGAAATTTCAACTCTCTGTCCTGAGCATGATTAAAAACATACTGTTGAAATGTCAGAATTTCCTGCCGAAATTCAGTAACATATTGTGTCATTGTTGGTATTTCTTTCGCTATTGCTAATTAGAGGGTTCCTCTTAGTTCCACTCTAATGTTCATGATTCTGGAAAATGAGGCTGTGTATCCCATGCAATAGCTACAATTTATAAGCCTAGTTTACCAAGTACAGGTTTCCCTCAATTTATGTGGTAGATGCGTTCCCACAAAACTGCACATAAATCGAATACACATAAAGGGATCCCATTTTATAATGTAACAAATAGGGATACATTCCCACAGCAGGGAGGGAGGGAGGGAGGCTGGGCCTAGGGAAGGGGTGGGGAGAGGGGTGCGGTGCAGCCCAATAGCTGCAAGCAGGTGGCATCAGCTGATCCCAGGGCTGCAGCAGGGGCAGCACTGGGCTCTTCCTGGTTCTCAGAGCAGACATCAGCCTGCTCTCATCCCACTGCAGGCTGGGGCTGATGGCAGCACAGGGCTCTTCCCAGTGCTCAGGATGGGTGGCAGCCTGCAGCAGGACGAGAACAGGCTGGGGCCAGCAGCCACTGTGGGCTGGGGCTGGCGGTGGCACTGGGCTCTTCCTGGTGCTCAGGGTGGGCTGCAGCAATGGGATGGGGGCAGCTGCCACCCCAAAATTCACCATAGCCCTCTCCCCCCGCCACCTGCCTGCCGAGCACCAGGAAGAGCCCGATGCCACCACCAGCCCTAGCTGGCAGCAGCCACCGGCCCCAGCCGGCAGCAGGACAAGAGCAGGCTGCCGCCTGCCCCAAGCACTGGGAATAGCCAGGTGCCACCTCTGCTGCAGCCCCGGGAGTGGCTGACACCTCCTGCCTGCAGCCACTGGGCTGCACCATGCCCTGCTCTGTCCCTTACCCTACAGACTTAGCTTGCTGCGCCCAAGGCCTTCACTTGTCCACTCCAGTCCACTCACCCCAGCCCCTTCTGCAGCAGCCCCAGGAGCAGCCAACACCACCTGCATGCACCACGGCATGGCACAGCCCAGGGGCTGGGGTGAGTGTGGAAAAGCAGAGCCCCGGAGTTGATTGCATAAGAGTTAATTTACCTCGCATATAACGAATTTGGGGTATAAAAAGTGTCATCACATAAGACTCAATTCACATATATAAAACCCGCATAAATCGAGGGAAACCTGTATATCTGATTTCCAGACCAACAAGAAGCAAATGTATTTGTGATGTTTTGGCACCTCCATTGCAGACTGAAACAAGATAGCACAAAGTAGCATAAAATAAGAAAAATAAAGGGGAAGGAACAGAGGGAGAAATTACACAATTGTGTTTTAACTCTCCCAGTAGGTTCAGTTGGAATTTTGCTGAGGTTATTCAGTTTACTCTACTTTTGTCCAAATCTGTTCAGCCTTTCCCATTTACTGTTAATTCTGCTGGGCTCCAAAGTGCATCGTGCTGACTCTTAAGATAAGTGAGGCCTCTGAATGAGTGTAAAGTGTTTAAACATGTGAACATAGTTGAATGGGAGGCATAAATAAATCATGCTTGGAGACCTTGTTTACTGTGAAAAGGAAGACAGTCTGATTAGATGGATAACCCTACTAACCATTCATTGTGCTGGCTGAAAATATATATTGTCCTTATATTTCTGTCAAGCCTTGTAGCTATTGCCTTCACATAGTCATAATCTGGTAAACAGATTTAAGATTTATTGGAGCTAGAAATTAGTAGTGATGAAGATTTGTTACAAGGGCTCATCCTCTTGTGTCAGTTTTTGTTGCCAATTCTAAAAGAGGCAGGAAGATGTTTCTAAGCAGACATTGAATAAATCTCAATAGTTTCTAATCTGAGACTGTAAATCTCAATAGTTTCTAATTTGAACATTAACCAGAATACAATGTAAGATTGACACAGCTACAAAACGCACACTTTTTTGAGGTTGTACCCATTCCCTTCCTTTTATTTTGAGAAGTAACTAAAGACAGATCTTTTCCAGCTGTTGCTTTTTATAACTTTGTTCATGGCATATGTCTCTCCTGCACTATCCCAACAAAAAAAAAAGCATTTGACTTATCATTTTGGGGGGGTTGTTTATTTTTGTTTGTTTTGCTTTTTTTTTTTTTTTTTTTTTTTTTTTGCTGCACATCCCCAGTTGAGCCGGTTGATGCCCGCCCAGCTGCAGACAGAGGACTGACCACGCGACCAGGTATATAACTTGCATGGCTTTTACCTAACCTATGTTTCCCCAGCATGTCTATGATCTGCTTGAGCTGAAATGATCACCTTTTTTTGTTATGAGCCTCTGTTAAGCTGTAGTGTCATGTCACAAACCATTACAGACAGTGATCTATGGCCAGTTCTTTAACAAGGGACTCTCACAGAGATTTTCCCCAAGCCTGTGGGAGCTGTCATTTTCTGAGGAATGCATGCTGCCACAAAGAGAGGACGGGGACTGAAGGTCCATCTACTTGTTTTTCCATTTAGCAAAAGTGGGGTTTTTTTCAGAAACAAGAGGGAGGCAGCAGCAGTGGGAATATAAAATGGCCTTACTGTGAAAACGTCCATATGTAGTTCGATTGGCATATTGTATTCTGATATGAAAATATTAGCAAGGGTTCAGGCTGGGTAGTATTGAAAATGATGGGGCCATTAAGGTTTTTTAGGGGGAGGGCAGGGATATGGCATTTATCCTTTAAACACCTGTCAATGGGTGCAATTTTCAAAGGTTAAAAAAAATGGTGCTCTTCAAAAAAGCACTTCTAAGCTCAGGAACGTGTTTTCCATTTAGTATCCAGACCTAGGTAACACTATTGACAGCAAAACAACTGCCTCAAACTTCTCTTTGCAGAACGCTTTCGGAAGGGGTTCCAACAGCCAGCAAGCATGTGTCCCCCTACTTCCCTGCCTCCTTTCCTCTAACACATACCCCCATACCCACCAGTCAGTTTAGATCAATCTGTTCTTGGGTTAGAATCTCCATGCCAATCCTCCATATTTTTTTTAAAAAGCAAGTCCAGCATAAATATCTAGCTACCTTCTCTCTTCTTTCCATTTCACTGTCTCCCCTCCAAAATTCCTGAAATGAAACATAAGCAGCATGCTCCTGTATGTTAAATCTTTCAGAAGTGACCAGTATTACTATCTGTCTACGGAAACTATCACAAAGGGGGGGAAAAAAAAAAAAGGAAACTTTCTGAATTGCAGTTCCAAGTTCAGATGGGTGATGTGTTTGTACCATTATTTTAACAGTCTGATATTTTTAGGCTTGTGCAAAGCCTTAATTCATTCTATTTAAGCTAAGTGGGTCAGGAATTATGTCTGCTACAGATCTAGACATATGATGTTCTAAAAATATTAGAATCAGGGAACATCCTTGTAGCACTGAAGTATTTTTATCTTCTGGGATGGTTCCCTCACTAAGAACAATAAAAGTATCACAGCATATACAACATTTTGCAGGTGAAAATTTTATTTTCAGTCCCCTTTATGGAATATATTCACACTCTAACTGTAAACTTGTCATCTGTTTTGTTTTGTTTTTTTAACCTTGTTGTTTTTCTCTTCCTACATGATGTATCTTAATTCTTTGATTGATTGCTGTTTTGTTAATTGGGATTTCTTTGTGCATAATGAAAATGTGCTGCAAAGGGGCATGTGCTTATTAATAATTTTCACAAGCTGAGGTATGGATGGGGGAGGTGGAAAACGGCAGGTACATTCTTGCATGAGTTTTGCTTCATGTTTCATGTTCCTAATTCTGATTAAATAACAGCTGTTATTATGGCCATGGTAATGAAGCTCTTTCTTCTTCCACATACCTTTGGTAGGCAGTGGTATTGCACCAAGATTTTATAACTTCAAATTTCGAAAAGTTAAGAGGTGCTTTTACACCTTGGAAAAGTGTGTGCTTCTATATCACCTCACTGGTTGAGTTTTAAGTGAACATCTCTCAAGTGCAGTGGTGACACTGTCAAATGGTTTCTGCAGTACATAAGCTTTTAACATGAGGCTTAAGTGGTGTGAAGGAGATTTTGTCAGCTCATTGTACTTGAGAGAATTTTATCCTTGCGGCTGTCCCTATCCTGTGTAAGTACAGTTTGCATTTTTGTCACTAAGCACAAGGCCCCTGTGAAGCTGACTAAAGCCTGTTTTTGGAAATCATGTTTGGCTGATGGACTTACACCCTGAATTTGCCAGAATACATCAACTTTCTGGGTTCACGGGGGGGAGCAAGAGTACTATTTTACATGAATGCCAAATGAATTGAAAGTAGCCTGTCCTGTTTGCAGTGCTGGGAAAAGCTTCTTTCTATATTTCTTGGTATTTGTTGTCTTCAAAAAAATCTAATAGATTTTTAGTCATGTTTTCTAATTTTTTAACATAAAAAATTAGCAATCTGACAAATGATCACTCAGTCTGTTTGGATAGGCTGTGCAGGTACCGTCTTAAATTTCCCTCTCCTTGTTATCCATGCATTATAACTGTTTAGCCACCTGGACAACGTATTGTGTCTCATCTTAATGTTACACAACAGGATGAAAGGATGATTTCATGGGTAGAAAATTGAGCTAGGACTCAAGAGACCTGGCATCAGTTCCTAGCTCAGCTACTGTTAATTTGCCCTGTGCCTCAGTTCTCCATTTGTAAAATGCAACTAATAATTTCCTACCCTCTGCATGTTGTAAGGATAAAATCCATTTCAGCCTACTGAGAAAAAGTTCCACACACTTAGTAACCAAAACCAGGGATTGAGATGGGAGCATTAGGGAAACTTTGACTTTTCTTTTACTTCTAGTGTAGTATCTGAGCATCTTCTAAGATACCCTGATGTGTGATAGCATGACATAAGAGACAGTATATTGTCATTTAACCAACTAATTGTTGGAGCTACTGCCAGTTATTAAGGGACATATTGGTTTAAAAAAGACAGACAGACAAACACTTTTTATATATATAACATATACATACACACACATTTAAGTTATAAGAATATCCTTTAAGGTGTACTATACTGTTAAATACTAAAGTACACCATGACCTTTCTGCAAATCTATCCTAAAATGTAAAAATCTAGCATTAAAAACCCACTTGATTTTTCCATTACACATCAAAATTAGAATTCAGATCATTAGTTTCTAAACTGTCCTTTGACATTGTGAAGTATTTATGAGAAAGTCAATGTTAGCCTGAACAGCAGTTGTAAATTATAGGAATCCTGGAAACTAGAAAGGGTAGTGAATTAAACTAAGTAAAATGGAAGTATCAGAAATGTATGAGATGTTAAGTACTGAAAAAGGAATTCACAGATAAAAACACGAATGTGAATGATCATAACAGAAAGGAAATGCAAGGAAATGGAACATCCAAATCATAATTTGGTATTAACATCCAGCACCCAGCTCCCTAGCAGGTGTGCATAAGTGATGCCAGGGGGAAAAGTTAGTCCTAAGTCTGTCATAGTTGAAAGGTTCACTAGGAAACACTATTAGGACATATCAGTATCCGTAGCCCATACACAAAAGGGAATAATGTGTCCAGCATCACATCCTGCTACCTTTTACTCCCCTTTTACTTACCTTTTACTGTCAACTGAAAAATTACCCTTCTAACAGGATTTATTTTTACCCATTGGGTGCAAATAATACATCTATTTATTAGAGCAGAAATTTTTTTGTTAAAAGATCATTTTTGTTTTTCTTAGTTTGTTTTATATATTTGTAGCTTCACTGATTTGCTTTTTTGGGGATGAGGATAGTCATTTTTCCCTATTTTGGGCTCTTCTTTCACACAGCAGTGAGAATCAAAACATTTTGAAATATGAAACTGTAGTGAAATACAACACTACAGGTGAAATACCTGCCACTACTTTTAAAAGCCTTTTTTTTCTTAATGGTCTCGATCAGGGCTGTCCAGCTGGTGGCTCAATGGCCACATACAACCTACCAGAAGTTAACATGCAGTCTGTGGCCCCACTGCTGTGTAGCAGGAAAGGGTCTTGTGGGGGAGGACTGCACATTACCAGAGCTGCCCACGTGTTGGGAGGCCATATAAGGCTAGCACTGCCTGGGGGAGATCTGTGGCACAACCTTTGGGGCCCAGGGTTTTGGTCAGGGGGGAACCTGGGCTGGGGACTCACCCTCCGCACCATTTGGTCTTCATGGGGAGCCGCCATGGGGTGGCATGCTGTTGCAGTGTGTGGCCCCCAGCCATGCCATAGTTGGACAGCCCTGGTCTATCTTGCAAACTGGTTTCCTTTTAACATTTGTCACAGTCTTGATCTTTCGGTTTCTGTTTCTGCTCCTGCATCATTAGTTCAGCGCTCAACGCAGTGGCTTGTTTCTTCGCGGTGAAAAAGTTGATGTTTGCTCTCCAACAGGCTTCCAATCTGGGTTTAGCAACAAAGGAACATTTCAGCTCAAACCCTTGTCAGGAAGTAATCAAAAGCTATAAAGAATGATCGGATATTTAATGCATTGAAAAACCATGAACACTTTTAAAAAATAGCTAGAGCTAGTCTATTGCTAGAGTTGGAAATTCTTAACAATTTCCACATACTTTTTTTGTAGCCTATAGGATCTTGTAGGGATCCAAAGATGGTGATGACAGTGCAGATAATCCCTTTATCTCTTCCCAGTAAGAGAAATAATTGAGCCCAGATACTGCAGGGAGATTTTTGGCCCATTTACTTGAGGTCTTATTATAACAACAGTTTCATATGGAGTCTAGTCACTTCATGTTGCCCTAACTAATCACGACAAAAAGAGTTGTCATGTGACTAGTTGTCCAGACCATAAATCAGTGAGGCTTCTTCAGGACATATCACCAAGTCTTAAACCTTCAATAGGTTCAGGAAAAAAAAGCAGTTGTACAAATCTTTACCTGTGCACCTCCACTGATCCTAGCAACAATGGAAGCTGCAGTGGGACTTACCCTTGATTCTGGAATACAGTAGCTTCTGTAAAGACCAGCTTAGTGTTGACACAAAAAAAATTGACCCATTGCTGCTTGGCAGTGCTTTTCATTGTCCATAGTGTCCATATTTCCCTAAGGTTAGAAGCAGCATGTACACAATGGCATGTTTGAAATGAAGCTCTGCTCCCCTTTGTCACTCACAAATGATAGAACAGAGGAAAAATTCTGCCCAATCTATTCTCTTTTCTTTCCCCACTAAGAAGCACACTGAGACACTAGAAAAGGTCAAAGAAA